AGCGGACTTATCTGATGGCGGACTTATCTGTAGGCGGACTAATTGTGAGATTTTAGGGTACTTCTATTCTCAAATTCTTGATTTGCTTCTTGTTCAAACTTACTCGAATATTCCATAAATGTGATTTGTGATGTACGATTTTATGATGATTGCTAACCTTTCTCACAATTTCTTCTTTACCAACGGCCAAGCTCAAATCTTTCAGTGCTCTACAAAAAAAGGTCGAATGTCCTAAAGATGGAGTAAACTCGTGCAGTTCACTAGCCAAGTGATACACAGATTTGAATGGCCGATCTCGATTGATAGCCCTAAAAATTATGGCGTTTTCCTCTTCACTGAAACACACTTTTTGCTTCAGCTTCAATCCCACCTGATACATTCCTTCTTTACTATAACTTGTTTGTTCATTTCGGCACACTTCATTCGTTCCGCCATCCAGTCATTGTTGCAGCTTTTGAAATGCTTAACAGATTTGAGATGGTCTTTTCTGAATCTGTGCTGCTAATTACCTTGAAATTCTCGTGCCCAGCAAATCTCAACATATTCTCAAAACATAGAATTCTATTCAATAAAGAATTTTTGATGTCATCAGCACTCTCGGCAATCATCATCGGCCAAATTTTGTAGTTTCTTTTCTGTAATTTCCATAAAACTTAAGTAAAAATTTCAGCAGCTTGGTTTAAAAAATGCGTGCTTGAAAAATGGATAAAGTAGAAGGCAAATGTATTTTTCTGAATATCAGAAACACTTTCCAATATGAGATCATCAAATTGACTACCTCCTCTTTCGCTACTGCCTTGCGATGCGTATGCTGAAGTGGCGAAATCTTGAGATTCGTCATTGTCAAACGTTTCCCTCTTCCGAAAGTGGCCGTGCCTATCCGACGCCGTTCGAGCTCATTTCTCATTATGTAAGCTATGCTGAATAAGAATCTTGGTCTACGAGCTGTGGTGAAATTTTAAAAAGATTTTCATGCTCTCACAAGGGAGGGATACTTAGTCGAAGTGGCATTCCCATGTGCAATGTATGCAATCTTATAGAGTATGGAACGTTGACTGATTAAACTATTGTTAAAGCAATAAGTTGCGCAGGCACAATAAAACCATTTGCAACTGTAGTCTATGAGCTCGAAATAGGGGCATAATTATTACCACCGGAGAGCTTTTTGCAATAAATTTCTTTAGTCTAATAAACTCATGCCAGTCATTACTTCTTTCAAGCGACAAAAAGATCTTAAAGGCACCGTCTACCCAAAATGGGGTTTGATGAGA